CCCGCTTTGGCGGCCCCGGCACCCCTGGCACCTCTGGCACCTTGAGTAGACCCGGTGGCCTGGACCCCGATGGTCCCATCACCGGCCACTTTAGGCAGCCTTCACTTCAGCAGCAGCCGCTAGAACCTGGAGAAACAACTCTCCCACCAGACTCTCAGGACGGGCACCAGGTGAGTCACTAGGCTGGGGCGGCGGCTGCAGAGGCCCCCTCCCTTTATGGGTAGGACGGGGGCCCTCCCCCACCGACCCCGTGGGCGACTAAGCTACCTCCAGCCATGTAGGAGGGCAGGACCAGGGAGGGAGCAGGCGAACTGGAGAGAGGTTGCCCCGGGGCAGGTTGTCCCCTTTCCCTCGCCCAGCTCCCAGACTCCCTCAGGACCCGGGACTTGGAAGCCCTAGCCCGCGTCCGCCGCCCCCGGCTACAGGCTGCCTCGGGAAAAGTTGGCTGAGCTCCCGGCTGGGCCGCCCGTGAGGAGGTATGGGTGCTGCCCCTCTGGCGGACTAGCGGCAGCAGTTTGGCCCCTCTGCTCTTGATGAGATTAGATTCTCTGCCTGCGGTGCTTGTTTTTTCGTGTCCAGAGTTGATGCCAGCACTAGCAGGCTCTCATTTGGAATTGGAGCTGTAAACAGCTGTAATAACTGCTCCAGGGCCGTTGAAACAACTTTTAATGATATTTCCAGAGCGGATCCTTGTGCGCTGACCAGAACGTGGGCTTGTTCACACTTACCTGCAATTTGAGACTGATTGTCCTGGGTGTTGTAGTGTGGATCAGCGCCTCTGAGGAATTCTGGTAGAAATATGCCATCTTGCTAGACAACTTCTGAAGAGCAATTTTAAAAATCTATGGAAATAAAACTCCCATTCGTACTCTTTTTGGGGGAGTGGGATGGAGAGGGTGGGTGTGAGGTGTCTTGCTGTTGCTAGCTTGAGAACAGGAGTCTACTGATGGAATAAATACTAGAGTAATCTCTCAAGAGCAGTTGTGTGTATTTGTGTGTGTTTCGCAATCTTTATGGAGTTTTTGTCCTTTTTAGCAGCTTTGGTGTTTGTTTTCTACTCTTTCTAGCTCTTTATTCAAGTAAGTTTAGTGCACTTAAATTCAGTGTCCTCTTGACCTCCAAATTTTGCCTTATGTGAAACTTAAGAGAAGCATCCAAAAATCCTTTTGTGGTGGTTAAAGAATAATAGTGAATTTGTTCCTCTTGGGGAAGAGGGCAAGTTTTGCTAATAAGTTTCCTGAGTCGAGAGACCCAGGCCTTCTATATTTACTACCACATCAGAGTCATTGTCATACTCCATAAATGTTATTTGTGCTGGTGTCACACTCATGATACTATTGTAATGTTAGGACTGACACATTTTTCTATGATGTGAATTGTAAAGTTGCCCTGAACCTTAAAATATATTGCTAGCACACTCCAACTTATATAACAGCTTATCAAATAACAGAATCAGTAGACATGCTTCTCATACTTGAAACTTTAAACACTGTAGCTAAATGATAATTTACTAGAATTCTGGCTCCCTTTATCCACCACCCCCTCTAATGCCCAGTAGAAATACTTAGCAGCTAAACATTGATATTATGTGAAAAAATGAAGGAATTTAACTTCTTTAGTCCAATGGTAGCCAAGGCTTTTTGGCATTCAGAATAGACAGACCCAGGAGGATTGGCAGGACAGCTGTACTCTAGGGCTTCTGTGATGATGTGGGACTCTCACAGGTCTATAATGGCATTTAGTTGCCTGTTGTTTGCATGGAACTTCAAATAGTCCTGTCTAGGTTTAAATACAGCTCCCTCTCTTCTGTCCTTTATTCTGTCTGTTTTAATGTTTTTGAGCAGTAGAAGTATGCACACTGGCTCTTTACATTTGCTGACACCAATTTCAGTCAGTTGTTTGTTTTTTTTTTAGAGTTGTGAGTGGCCATGAGTCCATTTTGTTTTATTCTCTTGGAGAACACATAGGCACTGAGGGGGGAGTGACTTGTCCTAGGTGTTGGTCTCTTGACTCCCAGTTAAGTGTCCATTCCCCTATATCAAACTACCTCCTGGAGCCTTTTGGGGGAGAGTGGAGTGGATCTCCACAGTAGAATTTTTCCAAAATAGATGGATCAGTTCTACTCCATCTATGTTTTGGCCAGGCTTAACTATGTATTTCTTGCTGAACTTCACTTTCAGGAGAATTGGAACATGCTTTGAAGGAATTTTAACCCAGATTCAACTTAAGTTTATCTTGAGGATATTAGTTTTAGTATACCAAAAAGAAAAAAAAAGTTGATTGGCTATTAGAGTTAGTTGATACTGCTACATTTTGGGTAAAATTTCTAGTGCCCTGGTGCACCCTCTGCTGGCTTTGCAGGGACATTTAATTGCAGTATCTGCTGACAGTCTAAGTTGTGCTGACAGGTTCTGATTCATAAATAAGGAAGTAAACAGCCTTGTGGGATTTGGCCACGTAGGTCACACTTTTATATTTTAGTTTTCTAACACAGACAGTTGTTGTTACAGCAACTGTTAGGTGGAGCGGAAGAAAGATAAAAATAATACACCCTTCAATGGGCAGAACATTCAGGTTTCTCACCAGTTTATTTGCAAGGAGTGAAGGCAAACTGATGAGAATAACTTGCAGGATGATCTCTTGAGACCAAATGGGCAGAACTGTCAGAGGTACTTCATTTTTACAAAGCCATTCAAACCTATCCATGCTTATGATATGATAGACTCAGTTATAACCCAAGAAAGGAATCTAGAAATCACTGAAGATATATGTATGTCATCCCTCAATTAAAAACTTTTAAAACAGGATACACAAGGAAATTAGGGCAATCAGGATACATAAATCAGCAACGTTCTCTAAGGGGATTGTTATAGGAAAGCCTCCCCAGTGGGGACACAGCTGCTGATGATAAAAAGTGAGAGGGTCACTTTGGACCTGGAATCATAACTCTCCTTCAGCTGGAGTAGCTGAGTACCTGTAGATTTATCTGGATAGTCGTGATGATCTCAAGAGAAATATCAGTCTCTGAGTTATAAAATATACAATATGATTATTAGAGTAAAAAAATAAAAATAAAAATCACTGTTGATTATTCTGTGAAGTTGGCCCACTTTTTGATTGTGGTCCTCAAAGCCAAGAATATGGTGGACATCATAAAGGAAGGGTGTTGAAAACAATGACAAAAAAAATAAAACCTTTATCTTTTCCATGTAAAAGACCAAAAGTAGATTTATATTCATAATCATACAGGAAATTCTGGTGGTTGCTCCTTAAGAAAAACCTAACAGCTGATAAAAGTCCCCAGAAACCGAATTAAATTAACCAAAAGGATGAGGGACTTTCTGGTTATTTTTTTCAGTCAAGAGAGAGAAAGGTTGAAGGAGGAATATAATGAAAGTCTACTAAACCATGAGAGAAATGACTAAGTTTAATATATTGGTGTAATTTATCCATTCAGGTCAATAAATAGAAAGCCTGATATGAGCCAAACACTATGTTAGCTACTAAATATATTTTAATGCCTGAAAGATTATTTGGGTGAGGAGGCAAATAAGAGTAGTATCTTATTAAAATTATTGCCCCAAGAGATAATCTGAATTGAAACGCTAAGGTTTAAGAATATTTAGAAAAATATATATGTGTAATTTAATAAGGGTTTATTCAGGATTGTTGGGGATACTTGGAATATGTTCTTAATTATTTGAGGTGATGTTACGGAATTCAAATTTAACTTTTCACAGAACATCTCTTGTTTTAACTAGATAGAACTTCAGTTATCCAGATTTCAACATTATTTATTAAGGTTGAAAATAACTAGGAATCATTAAATCAAAAAATATTTTTAGGGGAGTGGGATCTAGGTAAAATAGTTCTCCATAGATTTAAATCTAGAATTTTCAGTATGACATTCCAGGCTTTTGACTAACTGGCTCTGTTATACCTATCCCATTTTCTCTCTCAATAACTCTACTCTTGCAACCCATCCATTATATCCTGTCTTGGGATGATTCTGTAGTTGTTATGCCTGTTGATTTTGTTTAATAAATCTTGTGTCTTTATACTAGAACTCTTCAGAAATCTGACTTCTTTTTTTGTCTTTTTCTATAGTACCTGATTGTAGTACTTGTTATGTTTAGAGTACTTAAATACTTGTTGAGTTGAATATTATTTGGGGCCTTTTAGAGATGTTTATGTAAAACATACATTTTCTCTTTATGTAGCAGGCTTGTTTTCCTCAGGTCTTGCTAGCCCTGTGAATTGTCAGCTATGCTTAAGTGAGTAAATAGTTCCTTTGGCAATGTTTCACTGATTTCTAGAATCATTAGAAAGTGAAATGGAGAAGAGTCCTAACCATATTACCTTTAAGATGGTGCTAAAAGCTTTCTGTAATGTATCATTTGATGTTGTGTTTGCTTTTAATTCTCATCTTTCTCTTTCTGTCTTAGATCTTGTGAAAAATAATATGTAATTGATCTATAATTACCTTATAGAGATCTCTTTATATTAGAGAACTTTTGTATCCATTTAATCCCCAAGAACATTACCTTGCCATTCTTGTAGGGTGGCCCTCATAGAAGATCATTGTGTTATTTTTAATAGATTTTTGTTGACTTTTAGAAAGAGAGGAAGGGAGAGGGAGAGAGAGAGAGAGAGTGACATTGATGTGAGAGCGAGGTATCAATCAGCTGCCTCCTGCACATCCCCTACCAGGGATAGAGCCCAGAACCCAGGCCTGTGCCCTGATCAGGAATTGACCCACAACCTTTCTGCGCACGGGCATAGAGGACCATCTTTCTTCTACTCTATATAAATACTCATCACTTAGCTCTTCATTTGTTTTCTTTTTTTAAAAACAGAAATTCTATTGAAGAATAACATGCATACAGAAAAGGTCACAAATCAAATCAATGGATTTTTATAGTGAAGGTACTAACATTAGAAGAGCCCAGGTTAATAAATAGAACTATTATATCACGATCCTCACCTTATGCTCCATCCCTATTTCTATACCATTCTCCTTATCCAAAGTTAATGACTATCCTGACTTATAACATCATAGATTAGTTTTGCCCATTTTGAACTTGATATAAATAAAATCAAACAGTATGTGTTTTGGGAGTCTGGCTTTTGTTTTGTTTTTTTGTTTGTTTGTTATTTTGCTCAATACTAC